TTTCCTCTCTTCCTTATTTTCTCTTCCGCTATAAAAAGTCGACGACAGCTTTATTGCTTAGATTATTATTATTAATACATTCAGTTTATTAGTTTATCTGATTTTGTATCAAATATAAATATTAATAATTGTGTAACGACAGCTCTTCAATCATAATAGTTATTCTCAAAATGGAAATGCGAAGGACTCTATCTCCAGTAATGAGCCGTACCGGTGCGGGGTTCGCCGTGCCTAGGGCCGCATAGTCACGGAGCGTTTAGGCAATTCCGATGCTGTCATGTAACAGTTGCACGACCTCTTCCTCAAGAAGACTGGCATCCCCTATATGGAGGGTTTTCACAGACCAGCAGGCGCTTTTATTCAGTTTATCTTATTTGCTCACGTTTTGGGTCATGCGTGGAAATCTACTCACTTTATATGCATTGCTTCCCGCGTGCGAGAGCATGCCTAATCCGTTTAAAATAAGCTGAGCAAGTTTCTGATTTGTAGATTCCCAGAGCATTAATTTGGCGCTCCCTTACACGAGAATCTAGTAATCTCCTTCCTCCATTGCAGATCTTTGGGAGGGTGTATTTCTTAGTGCAATGATTTTCTTAGTTGTCCCTTGTATCATCGGGTCATTTAAAGCCATATCGTCATCTTTATGTGGTTGAGTGTTTCTCACTCCAATGGCGACGTAAATATTTCCGATAGAGTGGTACCGGAAATATCGTTCGTTGATTTATGGAATCTAGTCACCCTTTAATTGAAGAGCTCTCTAAACATTTGCGTGTATCGGGCGACAAATTGGGATTCCTTCCGAATCTTGCGTACATTTAAAATTAAAAATGTAATGATTACGCACAATCTATTTTTTGCTAATTTTTTTACTCTGATAAATAAATCATTCCTTACTGTGAGATTGGGTTCCCTTTATTGCATTTTTTTTAGCAGGGCTAGTTGTCTTCGCATCCTGTTTTTGCCATGAGCGAGGCATCAAATCTCACTTCCGTTTTAAATGTCAAACACAGGGTAATCCCGTTGCTGTTAGCACTCTCGGTTATGTCGGCTAACATTGTATAGGTTTTGCAGGTAGATCCTTAATTACAAATTATCCTCGAATTCTCTTTCCACAATAGGCATCTCTCGGCTTTGATCAGTCGATCCATCAGTTTTCTTTGTACGTCTTATATGCACCTTATTGTTGATATTGAGTTTGAATAGTAGGTAAAACCTTAAAACCCTTTGACATCTCCGTTGACTGGACTCTTTGCTGCTTTGCACAGTTGTGAAATCGACGTGACTCGTCACAAAGCCTAATTTGAGAATATTTTTTTGTCTGATGGTTACGAGATCAAACAGGTAACCACTGAGGTACTTT